GAGTGTAGTCTTCTTGCGGACGCTCCAGACAGCATACAAGTAATGACTGCCACAGCCCTGCAGAGACATGGGTCTGGGTCACCTGGTACTGGACCCACCCCTTGGAATACCAGTGTTTTTCCACTGGAAGACAAAGGGTTCCCACCATACACAAAAGCTATATAAGCCAGGGGAGTGACATCATCAGGGTTCTCCTCGGCCTCCCCACCCAAAGAGACACTGAAAAACATCTGGAAGTAAAAACTGAACTGACGGGAGAAGGGTTGAACCCAAGCTGGGAGGGCGTTCAGTCTGTGAGTGGAAATACCTGAAGTCTCAAGCTGCAGGCCAGTGCAGCTGCCTTTCAAGACTTTCTGCAATCTACCTGTGACAATATTTAGGGTGAGAAATTACATTTTGCAACCTGTTTCTTTAGTGAATCAAGCTTAGTTTGCGTGTTTTGTTTTATTTGCTTAGTAATCTGCTTTGTTCTGTTTGCTATCTCTTATACTCACTTAAAATCTACTCTTTCTAGTTAATAGCCTGGCTCAGCAAGACAGGTTAAAGGGGGCTCATGCTGGCAGAACAGTGGTATCTCAGCACATCAGGTGGCATCTTAAAGTGGGCAACCCGTCACACCTTGTATCATCAGTCAGGGTGATAAATAGATTGGATATGAATTAGCAATCTAGTATGTTAGGCTTAGTTTGCAGTTTTGTTTATTTATGAGGTGATCTGTTTGCTATCACTTGTAATCACTTAAAAACTATCTTTCTGTCATTAATAAACTTGTTTTATGCTTTATCTAAAACAGTGTGCCTTTGAGTGAAGTGTCTGGGGAAAAATCTCAGCTTGGCTAACACAAGCTAGTTGTGCATACCTTTCCCACATTGAGGGGAAAGCGAACATATTAATGAGCTTATTTTGTACAGATCCCTGTGCAGTGTAAAACAGTATAATTCTGGGGTTTATACTCCAGCAAGGGTGCAAGGTGGGAGGAGCTGGGAAATTGGCTGTTGTTTCCTGCCTGCCTTTGATTGGCATAGGTAAAGCACTCAGGTAGCTAGTTTGGGTGTGTGGCGCCATCTGCTGTCATGTTGGGTGATAACAGGGCCCGGAGAGGCTGAATCAGCAGCAAAGCAGTGTGAGCGGGCCAGCCCAGCTGGGTGATTAGAGGGGCACAGTGGTTCTCACGGCTCCCAGACTGCACCCCAGGCATGACAACCCATCACACATGGTTGATAGTGTCAAATGTGAATGACAGGTCAAGGAGGACAGGGATGGAGTACTGGTTCTGAGCTCTGGCTTAGAGTAGGCCATTAAAAGCTTTGGTGAGAAGTGGTTTCAGTCGAGTGCAAGGGGTGGAAGCCAGATTGGATGGAACTGGAGAGGAAATCCACAATGTAATCATAGACAATACGTTCAAAGATGAAGGCAAAGTGGGAGCCATAATTGGAAAGACAAGTGAGGTCAAGGATTTTTTTTAAAAAAGATGATAGAGGTTAAAACATGCTAATATTGTGAAGGGAAAGAACCAGGAAGAGAATTTAAGGACGAGTGCAAGGAAGGGATAAGTGAGTGCAAGGGAGATCAGGAGATGAAATGGCATCACTGAGGCAAGTGGAAGGGTTAGAGAAAGAAAGCAGATGAAAAATGTATGTGTCTGTGACAGGAGAGAAAAAGATTTGAAGGAGAAGAAGAGTAGCAAGCCGAGGTGAGGAGGAAGGTCAAATTGTATTATGTCAATATTCTCTTGGCAGAAACTGGCAAGGTCCTTTCCATACTATCAGTTTCTGTGGTCTCACCAATGGATGGAGAGTAGTATGGGGAAAAGTCAGTAGGGGGTGTACTGTTTAAGAACAGTTTTAACTCTGTATGTCCTCTGTTTTTAACAGGGCCATCCCTAGACATTTTGGTGCCCTATGCAGCCCCCACGTGGGGGGGGGGGGCTGACCCCAGGCCTTTGCAGGGACGAGGGTGCCCAAGGCCTCCGTGGGGGGGGGGAGCGCCCAGGAGCAGGCTTGGGGGCAGGGGAGAAACCGCCCCCAAGCATGAGCCTGCGGAGCAGAGCGGGTTGGGGCCAGGTCGCTCCACTTGCCCGACCTGCAATCACCAGGCAGAAGGAAGTGGAGTGATCCAGCCCCGGTGGAGTGATCCGGAGTGAAGTGGACTGATCTGGCCCCAGCCCACTCTGCTCCCCTCCCCTGGCTCCCAGCCTTGGGACTTGGGGGGCAGGAGGGAACTGCCCCCCAGCACTCATTGGTGGCACGGCTGGGAGCCGACGGAGCGGAGGGGGCTGGGTCGCTCTACTTCGCGCCGCCTGGTGAGTGCAGGGCATACCCGACCCCTGCTGCAGTCCCCCAGTACGTAGCTCAGGGGCAGGGGCGGAGTGGAGGCGGGGCTGGGGGCTTTGGGGAAGGGGTAGAGTGGGGGCAGGGCAGGGGCGAAGCAGGGGTGGGAAGAGGTGGGGCAGGGACGGAGGCAGCTTTCCTGGCCAGCTCAGCCGGCTGGGGGATCGGGTTGGCCGCTGAAGCAGCACGCAGCTGCGTAGGGCACCAGGAAATTTGGGCAAATTTCCTGGTGCCCTACACAGCTGCGTAGTTTGCGTATGGGTAAGGCAAACCTGAGTACTTTAAGTTAAGCACCTACATCCATGTTTTCAAAGTGGCCTGATTTTTAGAAGTTGAGTACCAACAAATATCAGTTGTACTGTATCCAAGTGTCACTGTGCCTTAGTGAGTCACAGCTGAGGATGCCAAATTCAGAAAAAATTGCTGAGAAATAGGACAAACTCATCCCAAACTGGTGGTTTTTTTATCATTAGATTATACCAAGGCAGAAACAAAGGAAAATTCCATCTTACCACGCTGGTTAGCAAAAAATCAAAGATGCAGTCTCCTTAGGCATTACAGCCATTGTCTCAATTTCATCATACATAGCATTCTTCTAATCCCAAGAGATCAACCACATAGCAAGGTCAATCTATAACCCAAATCTTACCCAATAATCACACTGATGCCAATCCTTTAGTAACTAAAACTAAAAGTTTAATAATAAAAGAAGAGAGTTAACCATGGTTAATAGACCATATACATAGAAATAATTGCAAAGTCCTTATAATCAGGTTTGTAGCAGTGATGGAATAGACTGCTGGCTTATAAAGTCTCTCTCTCTTTTGGAAGGTTCTCAGCCCATAGTTCAAAATACTCCTTTTAGTTGTAAATCCACAGTCCAGCAAATCAGGGCAGGAAAGAGGCAAAATGGAGATATCTCAGGAGTCTTTTATATCCTCTGCCATGTGCATGGAATTTTACCATCTCAAACAAAGCTCACAGCCTCTGTTTGTGGAAAGTAACTGACCCAAGATGGAGTCCAGGCTCACATGAGCATATCACATGTCCTTGCATGCTTTGATAACTAATAGGGGCAGTCATTACCCATATTCTTGCTGAGGCATCCACAGGAAGGCTTACTGGGTGGGATGAGTTTCTTCTATGGCTCATTATTACAGTGAAGTATCCTTAATGGGCCATCAACACATAGCTGTCTATGCAAGCCTCCTTCAAAGAGGATTGCATCCTGCTCTCCAGGATGTAGGCTCTAACAACCTCCACCAATTCTGGACCCTACACTTCTCCACTGGCCTTCACCAGACCATGGTGCAATGCAGTCTGAAGGTCCAACCTCTCCTAATTTCCCCCACACCAAAGTGAATAACAACACAGGCTGAACCCTAGAAAAAATGGCTCCTGTCCCATCTACATGCTGCTCTGCCCCCACCAACGTGATGGGTTGGTACCCAATACCAATTGTTTTCTGTGCCGAATGCCAAGACACATTAAGAGGAGCTAGAGGTGCCAGCGCAGCCTGGATGGTGCAGAGCAAATGATGCCAGTCAATGGTGGCATATGAGGCACATATTACAAAATATTTCTATCCCTAACAAATGTATAATTTAATGGCTATTGCAAGCTTACCTTTTGAAAAGCAGTAGACCAACCCAGGAGCTAGAGCCATCACTGACTGTTGGCTCCTCCTGCAGCTACGCAGGGCCCGCCCCACGGGGCAGAGGGAAGGGCAGGAGCAGCACAGGGCGCAGCCCCCCTCAGTCTGAGTTTAACTGCTGCAATCCTCTCCTGAGACCACCCTGCGGTTAGCTCAGCGCCACCCTTAGGAAGTGGCTGAAGGCCGAGGGTGTGGTAAGTTGCCATGGTAACAAACCAGTTTTGTGAGGCATGCGCTTAGCCCTACCCCGGCATGAACCTCACCCAGCGCGACCATCTGCCAACTTTCCGGCCTTGCAGTTCCCTAGGGGTTAGGGTGACCAGACAGCAAATGTGAAAAATCAGGAGGGGGGGGGGGGGGGTAATAGGAGCCTATATAAGAAAAAGACCCAAAAATCGGGACTGTCCCTATAAAATCGGGACATCTGGTCACCCTACTAGGGGTGCCCCAGAGTTGTGACACTTACATCAAACCACAGTCTGCCCTTACATCCGGCTAGGTGTGTCACTACCATAACAGCGCATCTGCACAGCGCTCTCGGTAGCTTTGGGGCCCTCGGGCTCGGCCGTGCCTAGCGCCCGGGCTCAGGGGCCGCCCCGAGGGGAGCCCCCTTCCTCCCCGGGCCCAAGCCACGGAACCCAACCGGGGCAGCTTCCCCGCGGCCTCCCACCCCGATCCACGCGGTAGCGGGCGTCAGAGCAGATTTATGACACAATCGCTCCCCTTGTGACGGCGGCACCGTTACCCTGGTCTGGGCGGAGCCGGAGAGACACCCGGGGACTGGGCATTGCTGCCAGCAACGGCGAGGAAACGCTTCAGCTGCGCGCGCCCCTCCCGCGCGTGCTCCCCTCCCGGCACCTGCCTCGCGCAAGCCCCCCGGCTCCTCCCCCCAGCGGCTACCGGCCCCGCGGTGACGTCAGCCGGTGCCTGGCAGAGGGAGCCGCTGTGCGCGCGAAGCTCACCCCCGCCTCCCCCCGGGGCGCCGCGCCCTCGCCCCGCCCCCTCCCAGCTCGCACCCAGCAACCGCCACCAAGACATGGCGAGTGCGGGGTCGCCGCGGCAGCAGCAGGGCGCAGAGGCGGGCGGTGGCTGGGAGGTCCCCGGGGCTCGGAGCGCGGCGGCTGGGAGGCTCCAGCAGCAGCCGCCGGTGTCAGCGGCCGGAGATGAAGAGCCGGAGCAGGTGTCAGGCGGGGCCGCGTCCGCGCTGCTGGGGGAGACCGGGCTGGCGCTGGGCGGCTGCATCGCGGCTGCTCTGAGCTGGGAGAGGCCGCTCCGCAGCCTGGGCGGGTTCGTCTGCGCCAACCTGCTGTTCTGGTGAGAGAACCTGGGGGCGATGCCCCGCCCGGCCCCCGGGAGAGACCCGACACCCCCCCCCCCCCCCCCGCTCGGAAAGAGCTGCTCCCCCTCTGCGAACCTAGACCCCACCGCGCCGCGCTCCCCTGCAGACCTTCCCCGGGAGCAGAGCCGTGCCCGGTGCACTCTGTTTTCCGTTCTCTATGGGAGAGACCCCCGTCCCCTGTCTCTGTTAGGGCAGAGATACTCCCATGCACCTCCTCCCCTTATTCTCCTCCCACCCCATGAGGACAGTCTGCCCCCTTTCCATTCCTCTCCCCAATACACCTTATTCCCTCCCCCTTCCCACGCGGGAGACCCACCCCACTCTGCCCCTCCTGCCCTTGGGAGAGACCCCAGCCTTTCCTTAATATCGCCATGATATTCAAGGGAGAGATTCCTCAACACTTTATTCCCTTCCTTTCTCACCTTTCTGTCCAACATCCAGAGCTGAACAGCGTACAATGTTTCCTCCCTGCTTTTGTTTTCATCATTTTTTCCTTTCCCTTCCCTTCCCAACAAATCCATGCTATGGGGATTAGACTCACCCAGGCACCAAATATCATCTTCTGGGTTTGAGATAAAGGGGACACATGAATTCCAACACATTTTGGGGAGGGGAGAGAAGCTCATGAAATTAGACCCCAATCGGGAAATGAGCTCTGCACTAATAAAGTGGTCCACTGATGTGGAGTTGATAGCAAGGGGAGTGAGGCCATAGGCATAAAGTTAAGCATGTGTGTGTGTTGCAGAATCAGTAGCCTTATTTAAAAGCCTATTGCAGAATAAGGGCTTTCTGTATTTTGTGTCTTGTGCAGCAGCAAGCATATTGTTTGTGCTTGACTCAGTCTTTTCTAGTTGGTTTAGGTCAACTTTGTGTATAAACAAGGAAGATTTATAATTGAAATAGGCATGTTTGCATTGTGTTGCAAAACCACCCCGCATGCTCCACCCCCAAATCTTCATAATTTAACTAATTTATTCCCATAGGAATATTCTACACTTTTCTACTCATGTTTCAATTCTTCTTTGATCTGTGGTTGCACCAGTGCATAAAAAATCCCCACATCTATCACCATATCTTACATGTATTCTGTGTTCATACATCCAGCATCGTATATATACATATATTTCAGGGCTGAATCTTTTAATACAAGTGAGAATAGGGCACCAAATTATGTTTTCTCCCATAGGATCGTCCTCTTTCCTCCTCAGTAAGGCACGTAAGAGACAAAGCAAAAAAACAGGTGGATTATTGACAACTGCATTCAGTGCTGTATGACCTTGGAAATGTTCATTTTTTAAATAGTATGCAGTCCAAATCATAAGGAAAGAACTTGAGTATTTTCTTAAGCATCACACTACACAGGAAAATATTCTGTTGAATACAAAAATATAGGCCTGTGGTCGTTAATTAACTGGAATGTGGTGTCATTTGCTAATTTGAAAGGAGAGAAATGTTCTAGTGCCAAGGCTAGACTAAAGGGTTCTTTCCTGGCTTACGAGATAGGTGATACATAACTCATTTGAAGCCCAAACACTCCCAATTCATAACATACATTACTATACTTGCTATAGCAGGTAAGTCTCTTGCATTAAGAAAATAATTATAGAGTTGTGCCATCATTTTCTAGATCTGTCAGATCCAGTTTCTGCAACAATGGTTGCTTACAATCCGGAAGGGCCATAATGCCTTGTTGACCTGTTTTTAACCAAGCTGTGTAATAAAATGATGAAGGGTAGTATTGGTAATAGCACTAAAGCTGGTTAGGTTATAAGATAATTATATTAAATTCTGCATTTCAGGTAGAGATGGTTGCATTTGTTTAGAGCATCACAGGGCTTCCCATTTGTCATTGAGTTTGAGCATAACTGAGCATAAGGAATAGTCAGTTAGGATAAGGACATTTGGTCTGACCAGATCTGGGTTGAACCTGTAGATGGGTGCAACCGTTGTTACCTCTGCTCCTTTAATTAAAAAATGTTTGTTTGTGTTTTCTGTTGTACTCATGTATACTGTTGGTTTTGATGGTCTTATTGGCAGCTCGCATTCTACTGTATGGCTACTGATATTTAAGTGAAATGGTTCTGTCAGAATTTCTAGTTCATGCTACATTCCTAGTGCCAGAGAGAGCCAGGATGAAGAAAACCTGGCTTTCACTGCAGAGCAGTGCTTCTTGGGGCTTCATCCATTTTATTGTGCAGGGGGAATTGAGGGGTGGGGGTAAACTAGGAAAGATTCAGGGGTGTGAATGATAGCCAGTAGAACTATGTAATCCATGGTTAAAGTAGATTGGAACAGGAGTGGGATCTCTCACTGCATCAGCCAAAGGGGTGAGTGGGAAATCCGTTGCCACAACAGGCCAGATGGGGGTGGAGAGGAAGCTGTGGGGAAGCAGTCAGGGAGAATAGTCGGAGCGCTCTGTTTAATTCTAGCAGACAATGCTGTGCTTCCCCCACCCACCCCTCACCTCTGTATGTCATCACACATTTTATATCTGGGTGGAAGGAGTGTGCAGGCAGAGATTGGAAGCAATTGCAGCTCAACTACCATTCTGTTGCCTAGGGGTATAATCCCCACTCCCATTCCTGACCATACTTTCACAGGGGGTTGTTATGTTCACTCTGACTTTGTACAGGGGAGAAGATTTTAGTATGTATTGTTTAGATTGTGGCCTTCTTTTTGTAAACTCCTTGTAGTTTGACCCATTCTTATCTCTATTTTTTTTTAAACCCCATTTTTTGGCGGTGCGGGCCAAGGGACGTGCTGGCCGCCGCTTCCAGCAGCTCCCATTGGCCTGGAGCAGCGAACCACGGCCAGTGGGAGCCGCGATCGGCCGGACCTGCAGACGCGGCAGGTAAACAAACCGGCCCGGCCCACCAGGGGCTTTCCCTAAACAAGCGGTGTCCCAAGTTTGGGAAACACTGCTGTAGATGAATAAAAATGATGTAAATATCTTTTAATGGGTTTAAATGAGTATTGGACGGTGAGACACTTTATTCTTTTACTTCTCTGAAATTTCTTAAACCAATTAGTTTATATAATACCGCTATAGTATATTATCCATTCATTGTTTTGTTTCCAATTTTTTTATCCATGCATATACAGTAGTGTAATTTACAAGTGTAAATGGACTTACATTGTCACATTCAAAAGTTGCTGCTGTTTAGAAACACTGCTCACACAGTAAGGGTAAAATTGTTTGTGAGTAGTATAAGGGCCCTACCATCAATCAAACCATAACCCCGCCCCTTGACCCCGTAAGCCCCGCCCCTTGACCCCTTGATCCCTCCCATCTGTCCCCGGAAGTCCCACCCCATGGGGGTATTACTTCCGGGGTCAAGGTGCCACCTGACCGGAAGCAAGATGTGTCATGTGACCCCTCTAAGAACTCCCCCCACCCTCTACCAATCAGGAGGGGTTTCGTCCCGATAGGACCGCCCCGAGAGGAGATTTTGACCAATCAGGGTGACTTCCGGGGCGGGGGTGACCCGTCCGGAAGTGGGTCGTGTGATCCCTCTAAGAACTCCCCCCACTACCCTCTACCAATCAGGAGGGGTTTTGTGCCGAAAGGACCGCCCCGAGAGGAGATTTTGACCAATCAGGGTGACTTCTGGGGCGGGGGTGATCCGTCCGGAAGTGGGTCGTGTGACCCCACTAAGAACGCCTCCCAAGGCCCTCCGCCAATCAGAGTGCAGCACCATTACCCCATAAATCCCAGCGCCAGACAGAGGAGGCGGCCATCTCTTACCAAGGACATGTGTTTTCGAAATCGCGGAAAGGCTGCTGAGAGGAAACATGGACTCCTTCATCACCCCCGTGAGAACTTCGGACTTTGTTTTAGCCCCAACCGTCTTTGACCTTGTGTGGAGCAGGCGTTACATCAGCGACAGTTCCAAGGAGGACCCTTTGACCCAGCCATTGATGGATACGTCGGAACCCGACCCCGAAACCCTCATGAGAAAGCCCGATGAACGTGACGGCCTCTCTTTGTCCACCCCCTCAGAGGTGGAAGGCGATCGCGGCTCGGGGGAGGCACCGGCGGACAAAGCGAACGGAAAAGACGGCGCTCAGGTAAATGAATGCTTAAGAAGCGGCGGTCGAGGAGGGGTGGGTAATGGGGTAGGAACTGGGGGTTGCATAAATTAAAAAAAAAAAAAACAAGCAGTGGGGGGTGCTTACACGGTTTCTTTTCTGAAAATCTCTCAACAGGTCGACGATGCCTTTTTAGAGGCCTTTAAGAACTTACACATTGGAAGCCCTGTGGGAGTAAACATATCGTGCGTCAGCTGCTTTTGCTCATGTCTGAGACACAGATCTCAAGCCGAAAAGGACAAAATGGAAGAATGAACCATCTGAGACTCCCTTATGGTAGGGGTCATGGCATCCATTTTATAGGTGGCTGTAAAAGGTCGTGTTAAACCAGGCGATTAATAAAACTTATTTAAATGTGTCAATATGAATGTGTCCCCTTTCATACTCGTGGTAGTAAAAGACAGTACCAGTAACAGTCATGTCTGCACAGATGGCGCTGTTAAAGAAAATATATTACGCCCCCGGGGAAGTTGAGAGCTTCGGCGGGGTCAACCCTCTTTTTCAAACGGCCAGAAAGCATAGAAAAACTTTAAACAGAAGACAGGTAACAGCATGGCTTTCAGACCAGGATGCTTACACTTTACACAAACCGGCTCGAATACGTTTTAAAAGAAACAAGACCATTGTTTCAGAGGTGGATGCGCAGTGGCAGACAGATTTGGTGGATATGCACCAGTTCTCCAAACACAACAGCGGTTTTAAGTACATCTTAACAGTGATAGACATTCTATCCAAATATGCCTGGGCCTTAGGCCTAAAAGACAAGACGAGTGGTGAGGTATCCAAGGCCTTTAAAGCTATTTTCAGTGAAGGTCGCGTGCCTCAAAAATTACAAACCGATCGGGGGAAAGAATTTTTAAACAAACCTTTAAGTGGATTGTTAAAG